TTTCAGTATTTTCAAGCCTTATGCATTTCATTATTATCAAACTGTAAAATTAAGTTTTAATTTATCTATTTAAGTCAAAACTAATGTAAGAGCGTTGCTGACCTACAGACAGGCATGGGAGAATTCACATTCTTGATAATTCAATTTGTTGGCACATTTTGTTGTCTAATTGTAGCTGCTTCTCCTGGTGTATAAGTTTTCTTTTATATAAACTAATCTGCTGGTGTAAAATGTCTGTTGATGAAAATATAATTTTATTTGTTAAAGAGGTAACTGGATCAGTTCTCAAGGTCAGTTTAAATTTTTTGGCTATTAAAAGGAACTTTGAACTAAAAATTTACCATTATGTTAGAATACTGACATCACATATATAATTTTGACATGTAACTTTCTCAGTACTGGAAGTTAGACATTGAAAAGAGTTTGTTGTTTTCATACAATGACTGCTAAAATCCATGGAAAAATTCCAAGGACTTTAATAAGCTTTGAATTGGGCACATTATTACTATGAATGTAATTCTGGATACCTCCCATAACATCTAGGACATGTGAGAAACTTAGGAAAAGCAATTAACATTCTTGCATCGACTTTTGTATTTACATTTGAAATTTACCATTTAAGACTTTAATTCTCCATAAAACTGCTTAAATATACATAACTTCAGTGTTATTTAAATGTTTTATGATCTTCCTGAAATTATCCTCTAATTAAAATCACTTACTTAACTTAGTATCTTAAATTTACCTACTTTTATTTTATTTGGAAGGAATTGGAATTAATGTGCAGGTTTTGTTCATTTTCTTTCTGAGGAAATCTTAATTTGGAAGGAAAATTATGATTATATGGTAGGGAGAAGGATGTCTTGAAGGCTGCAGACTTAAACTAGTGGTAATCATTAGCTACATGTATGACATGATGTATATAATTAAGAAATAAATTTATTACAGAAACTTGGAATTATCAATTAAAAAGTAGTCAGTGTGGTCCCCCAAGGTCTGATATGATTACCTGCCTTATCTGGGCTGTCACTTCCAATGCTGGCTGGAATCTCAAATACCTCAGAGGGGGCTCCCTGTGTCAAGTTAAATAAATGAGACAACCTTAGTGGAAAAATGCAATGACATGAGCGGGTGCAAACAGAACTCTTCTAGAGGAGAATAAAGAGATCAATTTAAACCTGAATATTACTGGCAAGCTTCTCTTCCTTCCTACTGTACTCCTGAATGGACTGGCAGGACCGTTCAATCTGTGGCTGTACCCCAGTCTGCTTGATGTGCTAAGGAATGCTGAACCTCGGGGCAATAAAGGATACCCCAGCCTGTTACATTTTTTTCTTACCTATAACCTCTGCAGACTTTGATTTTTTTTTGAGTTTTCTCAGGTTTAAGGCCAGAAGAGACAGTTAAATTATCTACTCTGACATTGTATATATGTGAAGGCACTGAGCTACACTCACCGGTCTCCTTTCCTCTAAGCTCCCTGTCATCCCACTGATCCACAAACATGTCACAATTATGAGGCAGTAAATCAGTGTAAAACAATAAACAGCTCCTCCCACCTGCCTTTGTCTCCAAAATCTCAGCTCCAGCAAAATTCTGTTGCTCACCCTGAAACAGAATGAAAAATTTGGCATCCTCTGATGAATTAGATTTTGTTTTTCGCGCAGAGTGTCTCACATCTTTATTGCTCTGGGCTCTAGTTTGGACTAAAAATAAAATTAATAGAAAGTGTCACCTCATCATATTTTTTACCTGATTGGTGTAGATGGATGTTAAATACTTTATATCCAGCTATGGAGGCTGAATACACCTTTTTATGAATTCAGATACAAACTGAATAAAGTTAAAACACAAGTTGTTCAACCACAGACTCAACATAAAAACCTAATTTTTAGAAGCCCTATACAACTTCTTCAAACCAATATACATCAAGAAACATAACATACTATTCACAACTCCAGCACCTGCCTATGCAGTAAAACTTTTGACATTTACCAGAAACAGAGAAAAGGAATATAACAGTCCAAAACTCATGATAGGGTTTTACAGGGTATGATTTGAAGACTGTCTGTTGGCTCCAAAATAAAGACTCCTGGAGACACAAGGAGCCTGACAGTGATTGTCTCCTCTTTTAAAACTGTGCTGACAGCATCAACTGTTGTTCACTTTGGTGTCAGGGAGTGTCAGGAAGAGTGAAGCACTTCTTACCTTACCACGTCATGCAAAATTTAGCACCTCTGTCTTTCCCTGGATTCGCCCCATGAGCGTTCCAAACGTGCACAACAAAACCACATGAAACTCAGATGATTTCAGATCATGTTACAAAGTCAAAACACAGAACAGATTCACAGAAACATTTGCTAAGGTTCACCAACCTGTTGAGTGAACCTGGGCCCCGTTCCAAGCAAATCTGGATTGATTAATGTTTTCTTTAAATCAGCATCACCTGATGTTCTCTGCTACTGATGTGAATCTCAGCTTTTACTTTTCTCTTTGGGATTTTGGACTGGTGTAAGTACACAGCTAAAAACAGCACATGGAATGAACATTCATCTATGTATAACTGAAGAATATGTATCACTGCTTCTGCAAGGAAATAAAATATTGCAGAACCTTAACCCTCCAGCCTCATCAGTATTTTGCACTATTATGAGCTCTTGGGGGAGGGCTTGGTGTAGGGCTTTTTTCAAACTCTTGATGCATTTCAGAACACAGCAGTAAAGGAGCTCTTTCTGCATTTCAACCACGGGACCAAATCGAGATACACTCAGCTGTACAAGGACTGGAACCTCTCTAATGGATCTCTTGAAATCAATGGAACTACTTATGGAGTAATATACCATTACCCATTGTGAGTGAGAGCTACTGTAAATAAGCTTTGGAAAGTATATTCCAGCTACAGCTGTGCTTGGTGGTTTGTAATATTCCAGCACTCGCTAAATATAAATAAATAAAATGAAGTGGGAGACGGTGATACTCTGATTTCTGCTCTGACTGTACATTTGTTGGGAGTGTCCGAGCAATCAGAACACTCCATAAATACCTTGTCATGCCTGTGGGATTCCATGCTAACTTATAATCCATCACTGAAGCAGGCAGCAGCTCTTGAAGACATGCTAAAGCACTGCTAGGTTGAATGTAATTCATCGTTACACTCTGGCTGAGTGCTTATTTCCTCTTTCAGGAAGAAGTGGCTACACATGGAGCAGTTGTATGCTGGAAATTTCACTTAAAATTTGCACCATATTAAGTAATTATTGAGCGAAAGCTCTGTATTTTATCACTTGATTTATCTTCTTTCTATACAAATTCTTTGTCAGCAACCTGTACATTCAGGAATTCTACTTTGAACATAGCATGTCTATACCTATAACTTTATCTGAAAACTAACAAGTTTTCAGATAAAACTCAGGATTGAGACAGGTAAAACTATTCAGATAAACAAGAAGAACCTGTCCCACCCTGTTCTCACTAGACATACATAAGTATATATTTTGTGTGTCTAAAAGATACCTGTTCATCACATAGTTGTGCTATTTATTTTTCATTTCTGACTCCGAGTTTCAGAGAAACAAAAAACTGAGGACAATAATAAAGAACGCCAAAGCTTCTGTTGGAATAGAAAAGGAACAGGAATATTGTAAGACAGACTGTTCCCTCAATTTTTTCTGGCCAATTTATAGTCCCAGCAGATTTGCAGAAAGTTTGAACAAGCACAGAGGCCTGGCAGTGCTGACATGAGCTGAACCCTCTCTCCTTGTGAAATTCAACCACTGCAACTTCATAGGCAGCTTTAGCAAAACACAGACAAGATCAACCCTAACGAAAAAGAGATTTAAAACTGACTGGATTCTTAAGGAGAATTTTTGTCAGCAACTGAAAAAGGCCCCAGCATTTCATCAGGGCAGCATCCTAGCAGCTTAATTCCTCACTGATACGTTTGTGCTGCTGGGGTCCATCCTGGGCTCCTGCTTTTCCTTTTGCTGCTGACTTAGACATCAGTGTCCACTAAGGATCTAAGAAAAGGAATCTTTAATGTTCAGGCTGTAAATATGCCACAGAGTCCCAAGAGCCTAACATATGTCAAAGGCATGAAATGATGGCCATGAAAGGGAGTCCTACATCTGTGTTTGCTTAGCTGAAGAACTGCAGGGCTGACCTGTGGACTGATGTGGCTGTTTAATATGGTCTCTGCAAACCGTTCAATAACATCAGAACTGCTGGTTAATCCTCTTACCAGTACCATTGACATTATTTCATGTTCTACTAATTCCAAGCCATCTGTAGAAATACTTGCCTCTCTGGCAAGACAATAGACAGTGGCTGAAGTTTTTAAAAGGCTGAAGCTCTAATAATCGTCCGGGTATAATTTCAGAGCAAGATTATTATTTTTTTTATGGAAGCATTTTTGCATAATGTTATAGCGTGAGTCTCACCTCATTTTACTTGTGCAAGTCAGGAGTAAAGGTAATTAAAATGCATGGGAAGGACTGAACTTTGAAATAGAATATTCTGAAACTAATATCCAAGTATATTTTGAGATCTTATCTCCAAAGGTGTTCACATGCAATAACCTCAATTACTTGAATTTTGGAAGAATAAAAATTATATTTCAAATGGACAAAATAAAAAAGGTGAGATTTGAAAAACTTCAGAGGTATCTGTATTTCTATTTTGCAACTTGAACAGTTTCTGCAACGTTTTCCTTTTCATTTGAATTTCCCATGTAGTGTTTGTGACAATCATAAAAACTGACACAATCAGCTTTTTCACATTGTGATTCCCAATTCAGTGTTGGGAAAAAAAAAACCACTCAAAATTACCCAAAAATGAATGAAGAAAATGCCTAGTTAATAAAAACAATCTCTCTTAATGATTTTCCCATGTATTTCCAAAGAGCCCCAAAGAGTGCTAGACCATGGAGGAGAATGATGCAAAGGAGTAAAACTTTCTGACTTTGGAAGGAACAAATGTTTTTCAAGCTGTCCAATCATTCTTACCTCTCTTTGCAACCTTTAGGGAGTCACAATCCATCCAGGAGAATCAATTATTGAATGTAACAGTAAGAGCTTTGTGTCACCACTCCTATCATGTCACTGTCTTCTGTCAGAGAGCACTGTGGGTCTGAAACCAAAGCACACACAGAGTGTGAATGAACTGCAAAAAAACAAAGTATTTCAAAATCCGGGAGGCTGGTTAACACCACCGTCCTGCTCTGAGCACTGCACACCACAGAAACTGGTGGAGGAAAGAATGTTTCTGTACACAATACACTCAGGCCCCCACTATCACTTAATCCCTCTTCCATCTCTGCCAAATTCCAGCTGCAGCCCGTACTCGCCTCCAAAGGAGCAGAGCTAATAGCAAAGTAAGTCATATCTATTGGCTTCTTTGCCAGCATTTCACAACAGATATCATCTGATTAGGTGCTAAGTGGGACTATTTGCACTTTTGCTTATGGCACATATAATTATGTAATTCTGTATAATGCCCAAATGACAGTTTAAGTAGCAGCTGCATAAAACAGAGGCATTGGTTGGACAGCACAGAAAATACAAATTTAAATAAAACCAGCACAGGAAAAAATACACAGATAACACGTACATATATATGTATTTATACACCTTCAGGAGTATCAAACATGGAACAAGATCATGTCAATGAAACCATTGACAAGCAGGACTCTGCCTCTTGCTCCTTGAAAGTTTTGCCAGTGATGGTCCAGTGACATTTTGCTTACTTCTCCTAATTTTCAGATGACATGTGTCCTAATTTCATTTCACAGGAACAGAGCTTCCATGAGCTTTGATTAGAGGACTCACAAAGTATCAAGGTTAGTTTGAAGCACTGTTGTATTTTAAAACACATCCTTCCAAGCATCTGGGCAAGGTGGTTGCAGTGGTAGGAGTCTGCCACAGAGGTGCTCCACAGAGGTCAAAAGGAGATCACTATTTGTTTAATTTAAATAAATCAATTTGTTAAACAAAGAGCTTCTGAGATTATACGGTCAGAGGGTGGAGAGCAAAGAAAGATAATTATTTTTGTTTGCATAAATCATTTTCTTATTACTTGGGGATCAGGGTGGTATTGTTTGGGTTAGAGAAAGGAGGGCAAAAGAAGATAACTGTATCAATTTGCTGATTGGGGTTACATGGGATTTTGCTGCTGGGGCTGGAGAAAGGAAAGAAGATCATTATTTTTATTTAAATAAATCAATTTGTTGTGATCAAGGATCACATGAGGTTGTGCTGTTTGCAAGGAAGGCATAGGAAATTCTCCTTTATGGACAGCTGGTTGCAGAACAAATGTTCAGGCACTCTTCTCTCAAATGGAAAAAAAATAATCCCAAACCCTTCAAGACCACAGAACTGGATTTCTATTTTTTTCTTTTGAAAGGCCCTGACTTTGTCATCTTGTATTGGTCTCTAACTTAACACATTCACTGTTAAACTTTTAATGCACTGAATCAGGAATATATATATATATATATATATATGTATGTATGTATGTGTGTGGACATGTATATAAACCATGTATACAGACAATTAGAAAGAGAAAGAGAAAGAAAGAGATAAAAACCAATAAATTACAGCTACCAGGGCCTGATCCTGCAGAAGCCCTTGTACTTTGAGGCAATGCTGATGCAACTACTGTGCAAACTGTGATTGCCTTCCCAGGACACAGGACCAGCTCTCCAGTGGGGAATATTCATTGAAATCAATGGCCATTCTGTGCACACACACTTTAAGGGCCTGATATTTGTTGCTTCTTTTCTGAAGCAATTAATGAAGCTCTGTGTGTAATTTTAAAGGCCCTTCACGAACTAACTGGAAATCTACAGCACTGAACATCAGTGAACTCATATCCAAAACTAATAGCTTCAGTATCACTGCCAAAAATTGACTAAGCGCTCTTTGTGCCTGCAAATGGGGTTCTGTGGGCAGTATCCTTCTATCTGCCTTCAAGGGATAATCTCCTCTTACAAATAAAACAATTGTTTCATTTGCTCATTGCAATGGTTGAATGAAGCTGCAGAAATGAATCTCACTGGTTTTGAATGTTCTCAAGTCAATCAAGAGCGGATTTGGGGAGTGGGGTGGCTTTCAATTACCACGTGTTGCCATTTGTAAAACTAGTTTTAAAAATGTCTTTTCACAGGTTTAGATGTGACTCATGGAATATAATAAGCAAACCATTCCTTTCAGTACACCAAATTAAAATATGGCTTGGATATAGTGTAAAAGTCAAAAATCCATATCTGCATGATCAAGTCCCCCATATATTAACCTTGGAGTGGAAAGAAGGAATAATTCAGTAGTTCTTTAAGAAATAAAACAATGTTGAAATAATTACTGAAAACAGTGGGCTGCAACCATCCCTAGGATACTTTCAGAGCCAGTGGTGTAGTCCAAGGGATCAATTTGTGTTTATAACAAGAATTGTAAATCTAACTAAACATCTTTATTTTTACAGTACGTTAAAGAAGCATTTTATTTAGTGCAGTCATATATCTCCACATTATTCTGAAGTATGCTTCTTTATTGCTTTTATGTCTCCAGAACTGCCTGAGGAAAGCATCCTTTTCTCCTTGTGTTTCATTGTTGTTACCCTTGTAGAGTATAACATGCACAAACTTGATTATGATTAATTGAGGGCTTCAGCAAATTATGTTTTTTATTCCTTTCCATCTAAGTCTTCCATCTGCTCAAGAATTTAAAAAAAAAAAAAAAAAAGAGAAATTTTACACTTATAAGGACACTTAGGGCTTTCTGGATAAATCATCAGAACAACTGGTTCAGCAATAATGGCTACAAGCAAAGTCTTCCTTCAGCCTTGCATCATCACCACATTTATGCATCTCCATCCTACAAGTGGGGTGAGAGAGGGTGATAACTGGTCCAACCTCATTTGATCTTGCTGCAGAGATGGAATTTCAGACTGAATCCAACCAGTTTAGGATCCTGCCACCAGAGAACCACTTGCAGCAGTGAAGTGCAAGGTCTGTAAACATAAACAGCCGTGTCCTTCAGCACAGTGCAGGCAACATCAAGCTGGTTATTTTTAAGAGGCGCTGTTGAAGTTTTCACCCAAGGTGCTGCAGCTGCACAGACCAGCCCATTGAGCCTGGTGTACCACATCAGATAAGGCCCTTCCTTCAGGGTTTATGATTCAGGTATAAATGCTTGCCATCCCCTGGAAACTGGCAAATGAGGGTGCACTTGGCAGTCTAGGGTTTTCTTAATAGGATGAATGACAGAAGCAAGAAGTCGTGTTTAACCTGTAGGACTGTGAGGAGGCAAAGGCAGGGCTTTTTCATTTAAAGACAGCCTTGTTCTCCAGCCTTGCTGGCACACAGCACACAGTGGGGATGAGAAGGCAAAATTACTGAGAAATTTGCTCCTCTGAGACCACAGAGTTGAAATAACAAAAGAACCAAACCATTTTAGCAACCAGTACGCAGATACAATCAGCCCTTAAAAGGCTGGTCTGGACAGCTGGTGGCGTGGGGACAGGGGCTGTGGATTTATGACACAGTCAGCACCAGTGGCATTTTTCTTACTCAGCCAATAACATGAATTGAGCTGTTGGCCTTGGCCCAGGTCCCTGTGAGCAACACTGCAAGTGACTGACACCACACCACTCTGGAACCACCACTGAGCAAGAGAGGTTAAATCTGCACACTGGGCACTGGCAGGAACCACAGAGCACTGGTGTGATCTGCTGCTGTAAGTCAGCTGTAAAGATAGTGACTGCCATGGCAGGTACAAAAATCATCACCTAAGGCGGGTCTCATTGCTTGTAAAGGTGGCATCTAGTGACCAGCAGGAGAGTTACTGCAGGTCACTGCACACCAGTGGTCGGAGTGGAGACTGACAAAACATCAAAAGAGAAAGAGTCCACGGTTCAACTGAATCAAACCAGATTTAGAGGTAGATACAGAAGCTAAACTTCCTCTCCCAGGGTTTGTAGGAGATCCTTGTCAGATATGTACTGACAGCAATGCTGTAAAACCTCTCAGCAGCTCACTGACACACAATTCTGTGGTAGCCTCATAGAAGACCAAGAAACTACTTTGAGTAATAGATATGGTTTGTACAGACAAACCATTTCTGTGGGATCAGCAATATGGATCAAGAGTTCTCCATGGCAGAGTGAACAAAGTACAGAGAAATGCTACTGATGGATGCCACGTGGTTGGTAATCCAGGCACTACCATGTACCAGGAAAAAGCACTCCCTTCTTAGCCAGGAAAGGAGGGGTGTTCTATTAATCAAATCCAAAATGGTTTTATTCCTAGTTGAACCTCCCTTCACATTGGTCAAGTGATTTCAGCATTCCACTTCTGATGCTCATAAAAAGGAGAGGCTGCATTTACCCACACCACTGCACAGGCTCGTAGCAAGAATGATTCACTGGAGTAAACTTTTCCAGTGATATGGATCACCCTTTTCTGCTGCAATGACATGGTTTGGATAGAACTGAGGGATGTCTGATGACTTCACCCCTCCAAGAAGCAATCCCTGCACCTCTGGGCCCAAAGGGATCACCACACAAAAATGAGATAAGTGATCTGGTGACAAAGCTACTGGAATCTCTGGTCAGAAGCCCCTGGAACAGCTGTCCCAGCTCTCTCTGGGGACTGCTACAACTGCTGCAGCCCTCTCCCCTCCCTCTGCTCACACACTGAGTATACACAAGGGCACAAAGTCAATTCAGTCTTCTGTGGGAAGCCCTGCACGAAACCTCTTTAATTTGGCTTTGTGCAAGTGTGTGAATCTCACCCTGATGCTTTCTGGGTACTCAGGGAAACATTATAATGGCAGCATAGCAGAAATGGAAAAGCATTCTCATTCTTTGGCAGCAAATAATTTATTTCATGTCCACCACCTTTTTGGTTTTTTTCCCCTAGGGCCTGTGTTTGTGAAATTAATTTCTGAAGAGTTTAGCTAATAATTATTGGTGAGAAGATCGTGTCAGTCTCTCAAGATAAACAAGAATAGGTTCTGGCTTACACCAACTGCATGTCACATGGCTGTCCTATTTTTCTAATTTAATAAATATTAACCTTTCTGCCTTTTAGGGGCATTGTAAAAGATTTTTTTTATCTTCT